GGGAGGGGGAGGGAGGGCAACAAAACAAGGAGCTGATGCCAGGGGCTTAGGTGGAGGGCAAATGTTTTGAGAATGATGAGGGCAATGAATGTACAAATGTGCTTTACACAATTGATGTATGTATGGTTTATGATAAGAGTTGTATGAGCCCCTAATTAAAATGATTAAATAAATAAAATAAAGTGAGTGGGGGACCTGGATCAAGTCAGAAGACAAAAACATATCCTATGGAATGGGAGATTTTGACACTACAAGCCGACATTCAGCTGAAGTCCAGAGCGCATGAACCGTTCTGGAAGTTACTTGCAGAGGGAAAGTATCCAAACATGAGAAAATATGCTACCTCCTTTACTGCATTACTCGGCTCTACTTATTTATGTGAGTCAGCCGTTTCCTACATAAAGATCATGAAGTCCAAGTATCATTCCACCAAGACTGAGGATCATTTGGAAGTGTGCTTGAGGCTGGCTGTCAGCAGCTACTGTTTGGATTATGCATCCCTGGCTCATTCCATTCAGTGCAAGTCATCAGAGTAAACTCAGGTTATGACCAAAAAATGTATATAGTTAATTGTGTTGTGTTGTGCAATATGGACTCATGCACTTATGCAAGATACATAAACACACGTACAAAGAATTCTCAATGTATTTATGAATGTAATAAATAAATAAATAAATAAAATGTGTTTTGCATTTTTGTAGTTTGTAGATCATTTTGACTTGATCATTTTACAAGTAGCTCACATGCTGAAAGAGTGTGAGCACCCGTGACCTACATATTGGACTCCACTGATCTACAATGTGTGTGTGCTGATGTGCTTCATCCTAGGGTACAATATGGTTTCTTAATTTTTAACCCGTAGCACTGTGCAACACAAACCTACTCTAATCAGAGTGCAGTGTTGGTGTAGAGTTTGGTGGTCTTGTTTTTTGCCCCATGTGTATGTCGTCAAGATGCTGTTTTCAAATTTACGTAGGTTCTTTCTCTCCCTGCCTTGACTGGTTATATTATTGATTCTCAGTAAGCTTTAGCTTGTTTCTCTGTTCCATTTGGAATTATGACCCTCACATTTGAATGCTGCTTTACTTATTTTAAGTCTGTAAAACAACAACTGGATTCGAAAAGGCAGGACTACATAAATGGGTATACACAGAAAGTGTGACCCCACTCCCCATTCTTCTACTCTTCCCATTTGCCCACCCTTTCCCTCGTCTCTTCACCCACCCTTTACAGAGGCGATCATTAGGAAAATACAAGTCAAAACAATAATAAGATACTTCTTCACACCCACTCAAAAAGAGAAGGGAAAAACAACAAGCCCGCATGGTCAGTCATTTCCAACTCACGGCGGGTGACCTCTGTGTGCAGAGTAGAACTGTTTCATAGGGTTCAAACTACCAGCCTTTGAGTTTGTAGTTGAGCACCAACCACTTGCATCATGAAAGACCCTTCACATCTACTAGGATGACTAGTATCAGAAGAACAGAAACCAAGTGTTGGTAAAGTGAGGAGAAATCGAACCTTTGTTCATTACAGAGACTTTGTAAGATGGTACAGCTACAGTGGAAAGCAGTTTAGCAATTCCTCAGAATATTAAGCATAAATTACCACAGTACCACCCCACCCCACCCCCGACCCCACCCGCAACTCCATTGCTAGATAGATACTCAAGACACAGGATATCAAGGAGTGATTTAGACACACAAACATACTATGGTCATGGCCCCATTATTCACAACAGCAACACGGTGTGAACAACTCAAGTGTCCTTCAACAAATGAATGGAAAGTAATGGCCACACAGTGGAAGATTGTTCAGTCATTAGAAGAATGACGTTCTAATATGCGCTACAGCACAATGAGCCTTATAAATAAACCAAATATAACAGGGAAATTTTCTGGTTCCACTTACGTGAAATATTGGGCATATGTCACCTAACTCCTTCTCAGGAAACGTCCAATTCACATGTATGTTTGGGCTGCCTTAGGGTTTTGTGTTTTGTTTTTCAAAACATCTTTGTTTTTCAAATAAGTTCTCCTTTTCCCGTAATATCTCCCCCCTCCTGGTTTTAAAGATTTAAGCCCAGACTCAGCACTGGACCACAGGTTGGGGTGCAGGCAGCTGAGGCAGAGGATGGGTTCTGGGCACCGGCTCTTGGGCTTTGCTCAGCAGCTCTCTTGTCTCTCCCAGCACCTGTACCCCTGTCTCCACTAGCCACCCCCCACCCCAGCTGCTAGCAACAGGGTCAATGAAGACAGTCAGAAGCAGGCTCCCACAGGTTTCGTATAACATCCAAATCAGAGAAGGTTAAGATACCGTGTAGCATACACCTGTATCTAGCGTGGGCAAATTCTCAGAGACAGAAAATGGGCTGTGTGGTCCGGTTGCAGGGGGTGGGGAGAGGGAAGGGACAGTTACTGCTGAATGGATACAGAGTTCTCTTTGTGGCAAAAGTTTTGGTGTCAGTGGTTGCAAAGCACTGTGAATGAAATGTCACTGAATTGTTTACTTAAAAATGTTTCAAAAGCAAATATTATGCTATATGTATTTACCACCATGAGAGAATTTTAAAACTATTTTAACTTGGGGGTTGGGGAAAGAATTCTACCTATGCCAATTTATGTCATACCCATTTTAATAGTAAACCATTTGCGGGGGGTGAGCGTAGATCAATATTGCTTTGAAAGTATGCCTTTCTATGTGAGGGATTATCTTTTATACATTTTATTCTATTCGGGGAGTATTCTAAAAAGATTGCAATAACAATTATGGGCTAGCATGTCTACTTTCTTCCCTCAGGCCTCTTCTACCTGGCTCACTTGTTACTCAAGTCTCTGCTCAAGTGTCTCCTCAGAGAGGCCTTCCCTGTTGTAACCCTGCCCCCACGGTGCCTGCCTGATGTGTCTATAGCACCCACCAATGATGGGTCTGCTCCACACGTATCCCTGACTGCTGGGCTCTTACTGAGCCCTGATGGCGGTGGGGGCGTGGCAGTGAGCCTTAGACAGAGGAGAGGGTCTGCTCCAGGGGAGACGAACAGTCAGGAAACCCTATGTGGGGTCACTTGGAGTCGAAATTGACTTGATAGTCGTGGTACTGAGTCAGTAGTGCCACAAGAGCAGGCACTTTGCTGTGTTACCGGCTGTCGCCGCAGCCACTAGCCCAGGGTGCGCGGTGAGCACATTCGTGGTCAGTGACTAGGAAGTGCACTTTTTTACCCTGAGTGGCACAACTTGTGGATAGACCCTCGAGTTCTGAGAGGGGAAAACTGTATCTTAATCCCCTTTGTATCTCTAGCATCTAATAGAATCGTGCTTTCCCTATGTTGAATCAACAATGTGTAAACATCTGATTTATTTTATGCATTTTGTCTTATTTTTCCCAGACTAGGGTTTTGCACTACAACTAATGAGCTAAATGACATCACTTGTTTCAAAGGGGCCAAAGAGTGTCCTTGTTATACGGTGTTTAAGATTCTGTGCCTCTTGCTTCATGTGGCCCCTGTGGGGTGAAGATTGTTCTTTGTGGACCCAGTGTCCCTCGTTTTTGTATTTTAGCATTAAAGGTTATTCTAATGTTTGGTATTTTCAGTTTCTGTGCGTGTTTGTGTTATGTTTTCTGTTTGACATATGTAAAGGATTATCACATACAGAAGAATATTTTTAACTGGTAGATATAAAAACCTTTGTGTACTTTAGGCTCCATTATTAGGCTATTTCAACTATTTAACTTTTATAGAATTGAGTCAAAGCTCAATTTACCTGCATATTCAGAATGTCCTTATCTGTTGCTACTATCTCCTGGCTGAAATTACTGTATCATGCTGAAGCTTGGGTTCTTGTGAATAGGGTAGAAATGGAAATAATGTAGTTTCAACAAAATGAAGTTTCCTGTAACATTATTTCTTAAAAGAAAAATGCCAAAATCTACTCTTTTGAAACTTGGGTTGGCTGACTAACTTTCTGTCTTCCTCAGCAAATAAGCACATGACTTTTAAGTATGTGAGTGTCCCTTCCTCCCAGACAAGGTTATTTATACTTTGCATCAACCTTAGGTCATGATACGTTCTAGGAAGTTTGCATATTAGAATGTATTTTAGTGACAAGATTCTAATCACAAATGGGAGTGTTAGAAACCATACTAGAATATTTAGACTAAGGCAGCATGCATGGGCTAGTGTGTTTGTCCCTCCTCTATTAAATAGATAATTCCATTCTTAGAAATCTTTAGCCAAAAATTCATTTTTGTTTCATCCTTTGCCACTATAGGTACCTTATTATAATAACTTAGTCTCCATATATTGTCTGCAAGTACCTGTAGCCATGTTAATTGATGATTAGGAAATACATAAGTCCAAAAAATCCAAGAAAACTAAAAATATAAACCAAATAAATTCCAAAATTTACTCTACCTGAGCATTTCCTGTCTTCAGATATCTTTGGATAGGGGAGAAATCTTTTGGATAGGGGGGAAATCACTTTCTTTTAATTTTTTCTCACATAACATTTATTGGTTTCCAGTACTAATTTAAAAAAAAATTAAATCCACATTCTTAGTAAACGGGAAACCTAACTTTTCATAAGGAAACTTTCTATGGAAAAAGTTAAGTGTCTGACTAGGTTTGGAGAAATACGTATTCTGAAGAGTTGCTTATTATGCTGTTTTCTTTTTATTTGCAGTATATCTCTGTACCGGGGTAATTGCAGACCTATACGATTTGAGCCACCAATGCTTGATTTCCATGAACAGTAAGTTTTTATTTGTGAACTAGATTTTCCCAGAAAAGTGTTGTGTTTATTTTGCATGCATGTATCTTCCCTTGTCTCATCTACATGATAGTGTCACATATTAAATTCAACAGGAAAATGTGCGTATATAGTTAAAAAATGGGAAAGTATCTTTGTTGAGTGTAACACAGACTGCCTTTTAATGTTTGCCCAATACCCACATGTTGCAGTCTCTGCTTTAGAAGAGTTTATCTCTAGAAGCAGCATAAAACTCTTGGGCACCATTTTTTATTTGTGCTTTGTTTCCATTTTTAGTTTAAAATTTTCTTGTTCATATATAACTTGGTGCATATGCTTTCAAAGTGAAAACTTGCTTATGTCACTAAACTTTTTTTTTTTTAATATTTTACAGACTACTTTCTTGGGCTGTATTTCCAAGAGCTAACTCAAAGGATCTTTTTTTTTTTTTTTTTTAATATTTTAAGACTACTTTCTTGGGCTGTATTTCCAAGAGCTAACTCAAAGGATCTGAGCATTTTTAAAGTGCTCGTGTACATTTTCAAATAGTTTATTCCTCTACTGTGGTTTTGTATTTGTTTTATTGCAGTTTTACTGGATTTTAATTATGCCAATATCTTTTAATCTATTCTGATTCAACAGATGGAAATTAGGATTTTCCAAAATGTTAATGTATTGAATGTTATTAGCCATTTATTTTTCTATAGCAAACAACATTAAGTTTAAATCGCTCATAATCTCAAGCGTAGACTAATCAAACATCAGTTATGCTTCAGAGGCTTGTGGCAGGGTGGGCAGAGGCCTGTTCCGCAGCTTTTCAGGGGCTGTGTTCTCATCAAAGTTAGGGATGTTGGCGGAAGAGAACACAGAGAAGTTTGCACGGCTCTTTGTGCATTTCTAGAGGGAATCAGTACTTGGGACTATTCATTATGTGAAAAGGTCTTGTGTGGTTTTGCATTTTAAATGCTAAATTATTCACATAGGAAAGACATCAATTTTGTCAGTATGCAGAAAGGTTTCGGTGTAATGTTGAGATTTCAAGGAACACAGAGTTCTTAAGCCCATCACATTTATAGCATCACTAAGTCTCTTTGCAATGCAAGCTATTTAATGAAGCCTGGCCATATAGTTTGATGTTTAGCCAAGGTTCTTCATGACTCTAGAAAAATTCTCTGTGAGTATCTTCCCTCATTCCAGAGTAGATCAAAATAGAAACTGACTAACCCCACTCTGACAGTGGGCCATGCTTATGCAGTTTATCAAGACACTGGGAGGAGTAGCCATAGATGCACAATACTGAAAGAATCCAAAATAGTCAGTGACCTACCTTTGAAAAATGTAGGATTTATGATTCAAGGGCAAGTCTTTCAAAACTTTTACCCAACCTTTTCACTTTATGATTTGTCTGGGAGGGAGTTTTTCAGATTTCATGATAAATGAATCCTTTGAGATAAAGAAATTTTCAAGCATAGGAAACTAGGTTGGGAATTCCCATTTCAAGTTATCTTTCTTGCAACTCTTTCGAGATTTCCCCACACCTAAAATAGGAAAAATCGGAGTAATGCCAAGCATGATTCTGGATTGCTGATTTTAACCTTTATTGGGCCATGGATTTCATTAAGAATAAATGAAAACTATAGATCCTTCTTCCCTTCCCATACACATAATTGCACAAACATCCTTTTACATTTAGGTCTAAGGGTTTTTACTAGTCATTCCTTCAAAATGCATATGCCAGTCTTGAACAATATAGAGGTAGAATTCCTGTTGTAAACCACCGGTTATTAAACTACCACTACAAAACTCACAGGGATTTTGTTGACTTATTATGTTAGCAATGCATGCTCACTATCGTAAATCTAGAAAATACTTACCAAGAGAAGAAGAAAGTAAGAATTTACCTGTAATTCAATCACTGGAAACATTAAATATCTTAGCTTTTAAACATCTATTTCTTTTGTATATGTCTTATATTTATTAAGCTATAAAAGCAGAGTTGTATTTTCTGAATGTATTATATTGTAATCTATTTTTAAACTGAATGTGCCTTCCATATTTTTATATTCTACTAAGTATGCTCATATAAAAATAGTCATGCCTATGTCCACAAGGTAGAACTCTAAAAATGGAATTCTGAGGAGAAAAGATAGACAAAAATGTTATCTAATGAACATTTAGGCTAGAGCAGTGGTTCTCAACCACCCTAATGCCGTGACCCTTTAATACAGTTCCTCATGCTGTGGTGACCCCCAACTATAAAATTATTTTTGTTGTTACTTCATAACTGTACTTTTGGTAGTTATGAATTGGGTGACTTGTAAAAGGGTCGTTCGACCCCCAGAGGGGCCACGACCCACAGGTTAAGAACCTCTAGCTAGAGAGTTAATCTGGTGTCATGAATAAGCAGTTGGAAATAACTGCTAGAACATATTAGTTAATCTATTTATAGAGAGGATATATAATGGGGCTGCTCTGGTGCCGCCCTTAGAGAAACTAAAATCTCATGAGCAGAGAGAAACTGCTGAAGCTCTGTGGGTAGACAGATGAACTCCAGTACAAACAAGGGTTGGGTCACACAGTAATATATATATAAAAATTAGAGTGTGCGGTCTTTTTTATAGTGCAGAAAAATGGAATGTAGTAAGCATAGGAGACTATGCCCTAAGGCGACAAATTTACAGGCCACACCAAAATAGTGGAAACAAAAGGAAGGAAGATTGTCCCGGCAATATTTAAAACTTTTCTGTGCCCTGTGTGGGGACATTGGATAGAATTTGTTTTTTCTCACAAAAGTAGAAATGGAGTTATAGAAATAGTTTGAAGGAAGACATGATTACATGTATATTTATTAGAGTTCAACTAGAAAAGTAAAACCAGTCAGAAGCGTGTGTGTGTGTGTGTGTGTGTGTGTGTGTGTGTGTGTGTGTGTCTGACGTCTGCAATGGTGAGGCTAGTAAGCAGTCTAAAAGTCTGTAGTGGCAGGGAGTCAGGAAAGGAAGATCACAAATAGACTTGAACCTTGAGCTGATGGGAAGGGAAAGTAATTATAGCTGCTGTTATGAGTCTAAGCTCACTTTAAGGAGCCCTGGTGGTATAGAGGTTATGAAGTTCGGCTGCTAACTGCAAAGTCAGCAGTTTGAGCCCACCAGCTGCCACTTAGTAGAAAGATTTAGTTTCAGAAACCCACTGAGGCAGTTCTACTTTGTCCTACGGGGTCTCTACAAGTCAGAATCCACTCAGTGGCAGTGAAGTTTTTGTGTTTGTTTGTAAACTCACTCTGCAAGAGCTTCCAGCTCAGTAAGACAGTTCTATCCTAGAATCAGCTCCCTTTTGATGAACCCAGATGAGCCCTGGCAGTGCTGTTGGGTGAGCGCTGTACTGCTGACCACCAGCCTCTCTGCGGGAGAGCTAAAAGGCTCTCTACTCCAGTAAAGCTTTAGCCTTGGAAACCCAAGATAGGTCTGCTCTGACTTGAAATCAAGTCAAGGTCCGTGGGTTGAGTTGATTCACTTAGAGTCCATTGACTGTTGTTGGGTGCCGTGGGGTCAGTACCGACTGTATGCAAATAGAACGAACCCTGCCTGCCGCGGTGCATCTTCCCAGTTGTTCCAGTGCCTGAGCCCTTGATTGCAGCCACTGGGTCTGTCGATCCCTCTCCTTGAGGACCGTCTCCTGTTTTGCTGCCCCTCCACTTTACCGAGTATAGTGTTCTTTTCCAGGGACTGGTCTTTCCTAACAACATGTCCAGTGTACATCAGACCAAGTCTTGCCCTCCTGTCTTCTAGAAAGCATTCTGGCTGTACTTCTCCCGAGACAGATCTGCTTGTCCTTTGAGCAGTCTGTGGTACTTTCAGTATTCTTCCCAGGACCACAACTGTTGACGACTTTAATTTTATCTCTTCCTGGCAGCACTTTGATTGAATAATCAAGAGAAGACATGTACTACAAGATTGGTACTACCTCCTGTCCATCATCCAGCTTCTCACAAGCCCCCTTCTCACCTGACACATCAGGAACCTGGGGGTACACTGAACTGCCCACTGAGCTGATAATCACGGCAGCAATTCAGACCCACTAGCAGCTCTGGGGGAGAAAAATGAGGCTGTCTACTCCTGTAAAGATTTGAAGTCTCAGACACCCAAAGAGCAGCTCTGCTGTGCCCTGTCCGGTTATTGTAAGTCAGAATGGACTTTGGCAGTGAGTGAAGCGGAAGCATTCTAGAAAGAATTCCAAGGTCGTTAGTTCAGTCCATCCAAATTGATACGTCACAAAGCCACCAAGTGGATGTAAATGAAGCAGGCTCTAAATGGAGAAGTGGTTAAATACTTTTCTTAGCAATTTCATAGTTAAGGTTCTTTATATGAAGCTTTGAAGTAATCAGAGAAAGCTGTACATCTCTATTGCAGAGAGTACATTCATTATGATTGGGCTCAGGAAGTTACTGATGGCTGAAAAAGAGAGAGGTCTTAGATGATATATTCTTTTTTCACTCACAGCAGCTAAAACTTGTTAGTTGATTGCGGTCATGTCCTTCATGGACTGCCTTTCCGACTCCAAAAGCGCCTGCTCTTCTGCAGTGAATGGATTTAGTGGAAAAGGAGCGGACCGTCTGGAAAGGCCTGTTGGACCCCTCCCGCAGGAGAAAGCTGTAGATGGTCTGCTTCTTGTCCTGTGTGAGCGCCCTGAGTCGGCATTCACTTCACAGCACACATTTGCTTTGCGGTTTATTTAGTGAAAAAAAAATTAGGCTAGAACAGAATGACCCTTCTTGCATCCCTGTTACTTTACTGTTTGATAATCTCCACCACTGCTCCCCTTCACCCTCCTTTGTTTGTTAACAAAAGGAAGCTCCAGAAACTTTGCTTTCTTTTAATTTTCATTTTCCACAAACTTTGGAAGCCCCTCCACTACAATTCCTTTTTTTGTTTGCTTCTTTCGTTTTCTGGTCCTTAAGGAACAGGACTCTGCTCCCAGCTCAGGAGTAAATCTTGATTAATATAAAT